CTGGCCCCCCCCTCTCGAGGAGATTTCTTTTGATTCTGCTCGCCTACCGGTCGTAGTCGAAGAGAAGCAAGGCCGCAGGCCTGGAGCACCTGCCTCATGTTGCTTGTAGCTGCACACTAGCAGGAAGGCTGGCGGACTGCGTTTACTCGATCAGGGAGCGTAGCCCGCCTCTGTAGCGCAGCGTTCTGGTCGTACTCCAGCGGAATGTTTATGTCGACTTTGCTTGACTTGTTGAGTGAAGTAGTGTGAGGCTAACTGCTSGGATGGAGAGTTACCCGGTTGTGTTCRGCYGCTGATGGGGGTGAGGGAAGTATGAGTGAGGGAGAGGAGGCCTACCTGCACGAAGTATAAATTGGAGTGTCCACCTGTGAGGTAACGGCGCGGCCAAAGCTTGAATCGCAGTATCGTGGTCGAACCCACCTCGCTCTTTGCCTAACCGTTGGTGGTTGCTGTGGCTGGTCACTGGTTACTGCCATTACTGCAGGCTGCGCTACTCTTGTTTACTGATTGCCTCCAGCAATTGTCGTGTTACCGTTGATCCGTGGTTGCCAAAAGCTACTATCTGCTGCCATTGACTATTGTCGGTTATCCTCAGGCTGCTTGCTGCGGTAGTCGGTCCAGAGTGAAGGGTGGTGCGGTAATGCAAGGAGAGTGCTTCGGTTGTGGGAAAAGGTAGCTGCTGCAGCCTGGGAGAGTGGTTGTGGAGGAGGGGGGGGGGCATTGCTGCGATTTGGGAGTTTGTCAAAGGAGGBGGTTTTCGRCCGTTTGACCCAGAATTTTGACCAAGCTGGTACATTGGCCGCCATTGCGGGGCCCTCAGGCGATCCAAGATTACAAGGCCCTCTCCAGCGAGACTGAGAGCACCATTCTTGGATCTGAGCGACTATAAATTTCCTCATTCTGCCCTTCTTACTCTCAGTCTAGTCCTTCGTTACGAGAGGAAGGCGGCAGGCGGGATCGCAACCCGTAAGTCCGCGTCAAGACTCTGTGGGGAGTCCACCCACCGATTGCGGGAGCTCTGCCGGAACTCAGGAGGGGTTCTGGAGGCAGGGAACCTTCAGGTAAATCATCTTTATCTGTATGACCCACTATTACCCATGTTTGCCTATCTCCCTGCAGTATGATTGATGTATGCATGAATTGTCCCTATGGTTACTGTTTTCTCTTCAGGACCCAATCAGATTGAATGGAAAAAAATGTATGAGAGTGAAGCATAAGTTTCAGTTTACTTTTGACTGAAAGCAGATTAAGGTATGAAATGGGGGAAAGGTGGGAGGAAGGCAGTTTTGCATGCGTTTGACAGGGTCAACCAAAGCCTGAGCATTGTTTCTACTGTGAATGACTCAGGGCTATGTTTATTTGACTGTTTTATGAAGGACTAGACATTGTTTCTACTGTGAATGGTCTGGTTGCTATGTTTATTTTATTGTTTTCAAGGGAAGCAGGCATTGTTTCTACTGTGAATGGTCTGGCTACTCTAGTTAAATCTGAGCGTTTTTGCCGGATTGAAAGGGTTTAAATTCTTGTTTTATTCTGAGGGAGGATTTTTTGTCGAAGGCTAAGCATTGTTTCCATGGTGAATGACTTAGCCTGAAAACCACGCACATAAATTAAACTAAGTATAAATGAAAGTACTTTATGTATATTTGCATGTGAACTGACAGTTGGGCATTGTTTCTACTGTGAATGGTCCAGCGTTAATCCATATCATTAAGAAGAGAGAAGGAAAAATGCAGAGTATAAATGAAAATAGTTTGGGGTAAGTTGAACATCGTTTCTACTGTGAATGGTTCAGTCACCTGCCCATATTTGACTTGTCAGAGTTCAGCTTGTCCTTTCCATATATCGGGCTTAGTTAAAATCTGGGAAGTCTCATTTTCTAAAGGGACTGCTGCCCAAATTTTTGCTAATTCAGGGAGTTAGACAAAATTGAACTTTCGGAAACCAAAGTTATTCTAAAATTCTGGACCTCGCTTTGTATAAATTTTGGAAGTCTTCTTTCTGAAGGAGTGCTGCCAAAATTTCTACTAATTCAGAGAGTTAGACAGAATTTGACTTTCCAGAATTAGAGATTAATTCTGCTTTCATATCTGACTTGGTATAAATCTGGGAAGTGTCCCTTTCTAAAGAGAGTGCTGCCCAAATTTCTACTAATTCAAAGAGTTAGACAAAATTTGACTTTCCATAATTAGAGATTAATTCTGCTTTAATATCTGACTTAGTATAAATCTGAGAAGTCTCTTTTTCTAAAGGGAGTGCTGCTCAAATTTCTACTAATTCCGAGAGTTTGACAGAATTTGACTTTCCAGAGTCAGATATTAATTCTGCTTTCATATCTGACTTTGTATAAATCTGGGAAGTCGCCCTTTCTAAAGGGAGTGCTGCCCAAATTTCTACTAATTCAGAGAGTTAGACAGACTATGACTTTACTGAGTTAGAGATTATTTCTGCTATCATATGTCGGCTTATATAAATGATGAAAAGACACTTTTCCTACGGGAAGCGCTGCCAAAATTTTCTTAGTTTAGAGGAGATAGATTATATTTTGATAGGTGATTCAGGCGATCCACCCAGAATAGGGGAGACTTTGCAGTTGGTCTACCTTCAACTTAAGCACTGACTTAAAAGTAGACTTAGATTTAGCTAATAAGGAAGTTTTGATTGAGGATGTATTATGGAGTTGTATTCTCCATACACTTATGATCTTAGCTTGGGGATTGGTCTGCCGTGTGTTACAGGTCCTTTTAATCATTTGATCCAGGTTCAAGGATAGATCCAGCTTGATCCCTTGAGGATCACTTACTGTTATCACTGATAACAGGTCGGTTGCCGATTCGTCGTCTACGACTCAATTTCAACTCTCCCTCCACACTCAACCTAAAAGGCTTTAGCCCTGGTGATCTTCGTTGTTTTATTAAGGTTTTCACTCGGACTTTTATTGAATGACCATTTAACAAAGGTGCTGAGTTTTAATTAAGGTTGGTTGGACAGGAGGTTCTGGGGCTTGCATGGCTAAAGCAAGGGGTATGAATGTCGAAGGTGGTTGGGGTTGACTCCGTGTAGTGTGTGGGCTGTTGATTTGGTTTGTTGATATGATGGCAGGTATGTGCTGTGAATCAGATTCTGGATTTGGTTCCCTACGATCACACATATACGTATTATCGTGAGAGAAAGACCATAAAAAATGATCGTCACATATTTAACCCTTATATATGTATACATGGGTATACTTGGGATGAATGTCTGCAAGGGTTGAAGAGCCCCCACATTAGAGCCCGCTCAGAAGCTGAGACTGAGGGGCTTAGGGGAGGTCTCTCCTTTTATGCTTGTCTCTTGCTTTTTGACGATTTTCTTAGTCGGACGTTTGGTCCTGGGCCGGGATTCGAGGTCCTTGTCCAAGACATCCCAAGCCTTAGGCTCTGTAGGGGAGGGGTTTTCCCTCGCGAAGAGCCTATTTGATTTACCTACCGAGACACTCAGGTCGAGAGCTTAAGGTGCAGGGGCGGCTGCACGACTTTTCCTTCAGCCCTGCAATGTCGTGAAGGGTTAGGCTCTCACGACACTTCAAGTCTGACACTTGAGTGTCATAAGCGGTACTCAGATCCATGAGGGACCGCTTGATTATGGGCACTACATAGTATGCCATCGTTGCGACTGCTTGTGTATGCCTGCATTGCAAATCGATGTGAGTATGCCCTGCGTCCGCGCGGCTTTATACTAAGTTCAGCGCGCAACACCTATCCGATTTCCGCACTGGAAAGTTATGGGTTGGCTACCGAGGGGCTAGGAGCGTTGTCGCGTTGTTGGTATTGTGTCGTTTCGTAGATATGTTGTTTTGTGTGTATGTGTGTTCGTAAAGTGGAGTGCGGGTGGTGTGTGGGATGCGTCCTAGTCGACAAACGATGAGTCGCGCTTGGGACCTCAGCCCCCCCAAGATGTCGGTTCGCGTGCGGGTCCGATAGAGGCGTATTACCGCGCGTACCCCCTATGCTACAGCGAACGAGAAACGCCCTCGGCTGGTCCACCTCTGCGATTGCAGCTG